TATATATATATATTATCGAAGATATCATAGAGATTTCGAATCTTATTTTTACTTCTGCTGACGAATATTAGCAGTTTTCTTTAATTAATAATTTTTGTTCATTTCTGAAGTTCTTATTATTTTTTTTAATTCTTGGAGGAAATAAATTCAAAATATATAAGAAATTATATCAAATAGAAAATTTCTTTTTATCCTTTAATTTTTTTTTATATTTGAAAATCCAAAAAATAGTTTATACTTCTAATTAAAAAATAAATAAGATAAGCGTTTGGGTAAAATAGATTTATTTCTAAATAAGAAAATCAATTATATCGTTTTTTTTTCTATTTCAATAAATATATATAAGATGAACCTACCTATATATTAAAAATATAAATAGATTTTATAATCAATCGAATGATATTTCTATTAAATTATGATATAATCTATCAGCTAATAAATCATTTTAAGAGAATTTATAATAAGATTGTCGCGCCAAAGTTTTGCATTCAATGTAGCTTGCATACCAAGTGGGGGACGATTTTTGATATTCGACCGCACCGGCAAGATTTTATCTGTTCGCAGTAGAGAGTATAATGCTTGCTCGATGCACAAGAACCACCCTTGCCGATATCTCGCATCAATCGTTGACCTGCAAACCGGTTCTTTTCTGTAGCAACTATACATGTATATACAAACGAAATGGATGTGTGTTTACTTAACCAACAGAGTCTTCTGTCAATCACTATAATATGTCAAGGCAATTCGCAGATTCTCGGAAATAGAGCTGTGGACGGAAATTCGCGAGCACGCAGTACGGTTTTGACTTCTCATCTGCTCGATGCGCGCAAATGCAGATCTTGCTGTGCTGTGCCTGGAACAAGAAGAATCAATCGGCTAGTTCTGCTGTCTTTGTCATCAGTTGGTTCAACCCGAGAAGCGAACATTATGTCTTGTATCGCGACTTGAAGTGACAAGCACGTAGACAAGGGAGGTATAGGGAGCCTTCAGGTGATGCTCTGGTTTTCAGACGAGCTTTGCGCCGAGCCTTGTCCTTGAACCGCCTTGCTGTCGCACTGCTCGCATCGATGGCAAAGGGCAACGGGAGGCTCCTGATGGAGAAAGAACATGGCGAGTCAGGTTCGGAGCCATTCATCGTGGCATTTTAAGAGTTTGGGTATGGGATCTGCTCGGATGTTTGTTTCTGAAGCCTTTCAAAAGTAGTGTGCACACCGGATCTTTCTGGATCTTTGTCCCTTCATGGAGCAAGTGGCCTGCTTCACAAGTACTGAAATTGCACTCATCAGTCCCTGCGAGTGATGCTAGAATGGTCGTGCCTGAATTGTGCTGACCATGGCCTGCCAACACACATTGCTCTTACACCGACCCCACGACAGGTACAGCAGCTCTCAGCACCCACGGATCCTTGTGAGGCCTTTCAGTGACCAGCGAAGCTCTGACTCACTGAGGTCCAGGGTCAAATCCTGCACTGAAAAGCAACGAGTCAGATGCAAGAGCTCTGTCGCATTGTTCAGTCACAGAAACCTCATCGTAGAGATGAGTAGCATTTCAGAACATTTCAGAGATCTCGGATCCGGAATGGCTCACTCCGAAGTTAGCATCGTACATGAACCAGCAGTCCGTGGCAGCGTGACCGTCCAAATGAATGACCTCATGAGTCATAGATCACAGTTTTGGCTGGAACAGTGTGGCAAAGGCAAGGGCACTAGCTTTCAGTTGTAGTGTCGCAAAGGCAATTCGCGCTCTCCCAGGTGATGCGTGCGACTAATCACCATTCACGTCTCGGTTGCAGGCGCTTGCTGATCGTCTTTGAACCCGGGAAAACTTTCCTTGTGTAACTGAGTGCTCCGCAACTTCCAAGCTTCCGTCGGCCCGAATCTGGACTTGCGGCTCCTTTGCCTCCTGTACTTGCTGGTGCCTGGCTTGAGCAGAGTGTCTTGCTTCTGCTCGGATGATGGCATTCTGCTATATTCTGCTTCATGAGAGGTAAAGTCAAGGCAGATGAAGCCGAGCAATGAGTCTTGCTGCCTTGACAGAGGCAACCGCAGTAGTGAGCCAGTGCTACATACAGATGAAGGCATAGAAGTCATCCACAATATCCGATGCAAGCGATCAGACCTTGGGAATCCCCGGGCCGGGTCTTTTCTTTGCAGCCACGGCTCTCGCAGCTTTGCGAGGCCACAGAGCTACGGGGAAGTGGCAGTCGCTTCCTGCCATTTCCACAGCACGATGGAGAAGCGCGACAACAATACCCCAGCGGAAGGCTAAATGACAATGTGCTGAAGATGATTCAACATGCTCAGCTTGGCTGTAGACTCTGCTTAGGTGTGGAGCTAGTTCTGCAGCAGGCCTGCAGAAATAGACATACGGTCTCTGTGAAGCCTGCCCAGGCAAGAGGTGCACCTGCCGAGGTTGTGAACCATACATGTGCTCTGCCTGGGAGACCCGAAGCTGAGCTGAGTGACCTTCTGGCATGTTTCTGTGTCGCATGTGCTGCCTTTCCAAAGCTCCGTTTACTTGTAGCAGATAGGACCGCAAATGTCAAACATGGTCGCTACAAGTTGGAACCTCTTCCAAACATCACTAGAGTGACTGGAGCCTGGCAATTCAGGGTGGCTCTGGCCTCCACGTCAAACAGCCCGCCACTTCGAAGCAAAGCCTTGCGCCTGACATGTGGTCAAACCCGAGCAGTGGGAGTCGAAGTCGTAATCACAGTAGTGGTACTAGTAGTAGTAGTAGTAGTAGTAGTAGTAGTCGTGGTCGCGGTGGTGGTGGTGGTGGTAGTTGCGGTACAAACAGCAGTAGTAGCTAATTACTGCCACTGCTACTGCTGCCACTACTATTATTATTACTACTACTACTACGTACTACTACGTACTGCGTACGTACGTACGTACGTACTGCACCACTCAGCAGTGAACTGCTCTTTCCACATGCTGGCTCAACTCTGAATCTTGCGCGACCTCTCCGCTCCCCAGGCCACGGACACCAGCACACCGTCCAGTTTCCTAGTCGGCTCGGGACCGCATCTGGAACACTGTTTTGAGTGTGCCCTGCATGGACATCGCATCCAGCAGAGTGTAGACCAGACACTTCTGAACCACCCTCGTGCAGGCAGGGCTCATGGCCCCAGGTCAGAAAAGGGACACCAGGAATTGAAAGTTGCAGAGCCATGCGCAGAGCTGAAAATGCAACAGCCACTCGAACATGCCTTTGAGACATGCTCGCAAGCTCTTGGAGGCCAAGCTGCAGAACCCGGTGCAATTCTCGCAGCGCCGCCGCCCCACGGGGGTCTAGCATATCGTCCTGGCACGTCGGCGGACAAACTGTCTGAAAATGGTGCTGAGTGCGGTCGAAGGTCTACAATCACCGACGCACAGAAAACACTCTTGCAGCACTTGCAGCAGAAATGGACACAAGCAACACGAATGACGGCCAAACACCATGAGATACCCCGAACAAAGGTTCGCACAACCCTTCCGTGAGTGGAAGGCGCTCCTTCGCCTGGCAAAGGATGGCATCGAACCTTCGGCAGAAACTCTGCCAGCCATCGAACGACTAACTAGAAAGTGCTCCTGCTGGTGACTACTTCTCCGGCTGAGTCCTATAAATGGCGCCAAGATGCGCCGAGGCACGTAAACTTTTCCAGTACCATGTCGAAGTGAGCAGATGCCAACCTTCACTCAAACAGTTGTCGTTGAAAGCCAGGCTTAGGGTTCGGGAGCTGGGACGGCAACGGATTGGTAGGCAATGAAAACAAGAGTTT